CTATAAAATGACACAGATCACCCTACGGAAGGAAGGGGATGATCCATCAGCTGTGAAGACACTTCTGCTTGCACCAACAGGGACAGCTGCTCACAACATTGAAGGACTAACATTACATGCAGGTTTTAGTCTTCCTGTTGGCCAAGGGAAAAACAATTCTTCATTTAATAGACTTTCAGATGAAAAGAAGAACACTCTAAGGTGTAAATTAGCTCATCTAAAGATTATCATCATTGATGAAATTTCTATGGTTGGCAGTGACAGACGACTGAGTGAACTATTTCACAGTCCACATGACTTTGGAGGATTGACAGTGATTGTATTTGGTGACCTGTACCAATTGCCCCCTGTTGCACAAAGGATGATCTTTCAACCACCATCTGATGATTATGCACGACTTTCTGGAAATTTGTGGGATCAGTTTCTTTTATCCTTTGACACAGATTATGAGACAAAAGGAAGATCTCATATTTGCAGAGCTGTTGAACAGAATAAGAAATAGTACCTTTACTGAGCAAGACATTGATATTCTAAAGACCAAATGTGTTCATCCATCTTTGATGTCATTTGAAGATCCACTACACATTTTTGAAACAAATTATGAAGTTGATGCACATAATGAGCTAATGCTAATCAGACTTGGTGCAAATATTGTAGACATACTTGCCAAGGACAGTGTACCAGAAGCACTTCGGAAGTTTCCTATTCCCCCCATAATGCAGTTCACTGGAGGTTTGCCCAAGATTATTAGATTGGCAGTTGGAGCCAGGATCATGCTGACAAGAAATTTGGATGTATCTGGTGGCTTATGACAACAGTTTCCACTACGCTTGTGTTGGGCTTGTACAGTGCACAAGATTCAGGGACAAACTTTGGAGGAAGTTGTTGTTTCATTTGAAAAGAAATATGGATATGGTCAAGCCTATGTAGCTCTCAGTCGGGCAAAGACTTTGTCTGGAATGAAACTTCTTCACTTCAGCAACGATAAAATTAAGACCTCCTCTGTTGTCACAAAGGAAATGATGAGACTGGAAGCAAATGCCCTTGTACAGAACCCTTTTCCAACAATTGAGTCTGGTACATCCAACACTCTCCAAGTGACCATGCTAAATGCTAGATCTGCCAAACTACACTTTTTGGACATACAGAATGATCCAGTGATTTCAGCTGGAGATATCATTTGCCTTTCTGAGACCCATTTCTATGCAAATCAGCTGCAGAATTATCATCGTTCTGCATACCAAACATATCATATACCAGCAAGACATTCCACAAACATACATGGATTGTCTCTCTATTACAAATCATCACTTGACATTTCACTCCATAACAGATCAGAAACACATTTCTGTGAAGCTCTTGTTGTATCTGTCCACAACAATCCAAAGTTGAAAAACATTCTCTTCCTCTACAGATCTCCATCTTCAAATGTCAGTGACTTTCTGAATAATGTTGAGAAAATACTGCCAGAAAGCAGCTTGAATCAATGTCTAGTGCTTGGTGACTTCAATACTGACAGAGGGACACCTAGGGGAAAACAACTGGAGGATGTTATGACTGCTCTTGGATTTGTACAGTGCGTAACCAAGGCCACAACCATATATTGATCTTGTTTTGACCATGTCTACAAATCTTCACACAATGAACAGCTCACTGTTGATATACTTCCTAACTACTTCTCCGATCATTTCACCATATGTCTGCATTTGTAGTAGCTGAAGAGATGGAACATTTTACACCTGGTAAGAGTCATTGGATGCAAGCCCCAGGAGTTACATCATCTCAACTCTGAGGAAAGCGAACATTATATGGAATCACTTGTCAAGAATTTTGAAGATATGTTGATCAATCTTTGTTTTATGACTAAAAATCTCTCAGTTGCTCAGTTTTTAACAAACAAGCCCATCTCAACCCCATGGAAATAATTATGGACTTAAACAGATAAACAGTGCGAGGTGTGCAATAATATCATGTCATGGAACAGTTAACTTTTAACCTGCCATATTGAATATGTTCCAGAATATGCCAAAACGTACCACTTTTTCTTCTACAGCAATCTATTGCTTTCTCTTGCCTCCACAGTGATATTGCTATTGCTAGTTTATTTACCCTTGTACCATGAACCTTCATGATATAGGTTTAATTGTACTGTGGTAAGTTCATTGTGACATACATTTACAAATAAGTATTTACCTTGGACAATTTGGATATATTTATGTTATGATCAACCATGATATTTATTTAGTAGAAATTAATCACCAGAGCACACTCAGTGTAGGGAACTCTTCCTACAGCAGCGGGGCATCCGTGTCCCTGGACACAATTTTTTCTTGTTGAGATAGAAATTTTTATATAATCATATCTAAAAATGTTATTTTCTGTTTTTGTTTCTACTGAAAGTGGTGTTGCTTCCCATAATACCAGAATGTCTTTATATTTCAGCCCTTGTTATAACATATCTGATCTATGACTGGGGAAAAGCAGAACACATGCGGCTCACAAGGAAGGACCCAACAGAATTTGTCAATGACAAATATGTGTGCATATTGTGGAAACATAGAACATCTTGCTGGCCATTTGAAGAGGTATGTTGTATTTGTATTACATCACTGAAATATGTCACAGAACTCTAAAATCTTGTATGAAAGTAGAATGGGCGAAAAGAAACTGAAACTGAAGATGTGATTTTTGTTTTTCAGTTAATTGAAACCTGTTCTTAATAGAATTACTCTTAGTGTTTGTTCATTATTTGTGTTTTGGTGACATTGTTGATATATGAAACTATTCAGTTGAGCCTCATTGTGTCAAACTTGTGGGTACCTGGGTAAAAATTCAAGTTATCTAGGGTTTGATACAACCACCAATAATTTAAAAACAACCCTGAACATCGTGTAATGAGAAATTGTTCCCCAGTCTTCATACAACACAAGATTTCAAGGCTTACATAAACATCAGTGACCAGGCTACTGGTTGTGAAGGGGCAGCAACTCTGGTGCATCATTGACCTCTATGTCACTGTCTTGATCTGCTTCATGGTACAGCTCCATGGTACAGCTCCAATTCATGATAGATTCACTAACAATCTTAATGTATTACACATTTGTCATTTTTAATTCGCTCATTTTCACATGACATGAGAACACATCAGTGACTTGTTGACAATGCGTATACAGTAATCAGCTTGCACCTTCAATGTTAAGGACCACCTCCGTGGTGTAGTGGTTAGAGCGTCCGCCCAGAGAGCGGAAGGTCGCGGGTTCGATTCCCGACCGCGTCATACCAAAAGACCTTAAAATATGGTACTTGTTGGTCCCTGCCTGGCGCTCGGCATTAATGGGTACAACAAGGACTGGTCGGCTTGGAGTCAGTATAATGTGTCTGAGTGGGGTATTCATGCTTCACTGCGGCGTGGTATCTCAGTGGGCTAGCACTATAATATCAGCTTAAGTCTGGGCTAGTACAAGCAGCCGCACATACACATACACGCATGCACGTCGTCATGAGCAAAATATTCTCAAGCACGACATTAAACCCAATTTCACCTCACCTTCAATGTTAGGTGGGCTTGTTATTAGACTCTTTTGGATATTGGCATTATGTTAGTAACAGAAATGAGTGAGTTTTGTTTTACGCCATACTCAGGAATATTGCAGCTATATGGCGGGGGATCAAGTCTGGACCAGGCAATCCAGTGATCAACAACATGCGCATCGATCTACGCAATTGGGATACGATGACATGTGTCAACGAGCCTGACCACCTGATCCGGTAAGTCGCCTCTTATGACAACCATGAGTTACTGAAGATCAATTCTAACCTGGATCTTCATGGGTAGCAGTCCTTGTAATATGTGTATAAAAGTACATAATCCATGGATAGCACATTCACTCTACACTTGTACATCAACTTTAGAAAACAAAAAAGGGGCAGTGGGGTAGCCTAGAGGTTAAACGTTTGCTGGTCACACCGAATACCCAGATTTGATTCCCCCACATGGGTACAAAGTGTGAAGCCCATTTCTGGTGTCCCCTACTGTGATATTGCTGGAATATTGCTAAGAGCGGCGTAAAACCCAACTCACTCACTAGAGAAAAAGAGTCCCACATGGAATTCAACAAATTCACAGGGACAAAATCACAGCTCTGGACTTGGTGAGTGATAGCAACAGTGCAAAAACTGAACAGTAAAAGTTATGACAGTGCAGCTTCTCAATGTAGGGAGAAACCAAATGGAATGCTCGTTACAGTTTTGACCAAAAGCTCTCCTATGTTCCCAAATGTGGAAAGGACAGGACACACCAGTGATCACCTTATTTCAAGATTCAAGTCTCTTCATGAGATTAAAATTGTTAGTAGGTAAACTTTTGAGTATTTACTCACCAAATCCACATTGTGTCATTCTGGACTATATTTTCTGCATTACCTGTCAGTTCCTGTGAATTTATTACAATATTACCTGTCATGCATTCAGGAACCAGCCATTTAATGTAAAAGGTGAGGGTACCTAAAATGTGACAGTCCAGGGGTTTGTTATAAAAAGAATAATGCACATGTTTGTGGCGGGCCATGAAGAAAATTGTCATTTGGTAATAAAAAAAGTGCTTTCATTTTGTCTTTCCATGGAGGGTCACGACAAGAAACATTGTAGAAAGACATGGAGGGAGGATCATCCACACATATGAGTGAGTATGGTTTCACGCCACTTTTAGCAATATTCCAGAAATATCACGGTGAGGGACACCATAAATGGGCTTCATACATTATACCAACGTGGGGAATCGAACTCGGGTCTGCGTCATGACGAGCCAACACTTTAACCACTAGGCTACACCACTGTCCCTCCACAAATATGACAAGCATGAGGGGAAGGTCATTAATTTAGTACATTAGGGCACACACACAAAACAAAACGCTGACCAACCCTCCACAGGTATAAATGACCAGTCCCTTCAGCTTGCAGAACATCATCATCATCTTGATGCACAAAAACCCGAACACTTGTCACATTATAGCAGTTTATTACATCATCAAGGCAATAACTAGTGACCGAACAGTAACATTTATACCATAGTAGACACCAATGGTTTATTCAAATCACAATTTCAGACAAGTGGTCTATGCAAAGTATATACATCTGGGATGAAACCTACCAGGCCTATGGATTTCCACTTGTCTCAGACTGGTGGCTGTGTCTGACAATGTACGAGGTGCGTTGGTTTAGTTAATACTGACTTGACCATGTTGACAACTGTTTGTAAGTAAATATTTATTTACCATTCATCAAATAGCATGCTTCCTCTCTATGTACATATAACAAAACCTCATTCTGATAGATGTGTGATTCAGCTTTTAAGGATGGGAATATTTGGATCACTGATCAAATTATGCAATGTTGATGGATTTGAAACATTCTCAGATTAACCAGCTGGTAACACACAGTCAGTCTTAAGTTCTTTGTGTGTCATTTTGGAAGTACAATGTAAACAAGCCTTTATAGATAACAACTTCTCTCTTTGTGAGTGTGACATTTCAATACAGATTCTTGTACCGTTGTACATCGCTCCAGATTGACAACGGTACAAGAATCGAAACGTCCCACTCGTGAAATAAAGTTGTTATCCATTAAGGTTTGTCTATACGGTCACTCTTGCTTGACAATCTATACCGAAACATTGCATGGTAATTTATTAAAGAAGTTGTCCTCCATAAAGTATCCTACCTTTCTTGTTATTCATCAAATTCTAAAATACCAATCAAACAAAACACACAGTCAGGTGAATATTGCACATTTCCACATCCCAGACATGACATGTTGAACTCTTCATGAAGGATCTACTCAAGTAATACAATGTGGAATGGCATGTAGACTGAGTGAGAGTCTCAACATCAGTGTGAGTTGACGACCATGCATTTGATGAAGACTTCTGGAATGATGGCGGGACCTCTCATCTGACCTCAGGAGGATAATTGCTGCACAGCCTGAAATAACAGAGAAGTTTCTTTAGTGCAGTAATTACCACTGGTTTGCAGGTCTGTGGCTAGTGACAAATCCAAAGGGCAAATGTGAGCGAGTGTATTTAGCTTGACACATCTTTGACACATGTCATCGTATCCTAATTGCGTAGGTCGATGCTCATGATGTTGATCACTGGATTGTCTGGTTCAGATTTGATTATTTACAGACTGCCGTCATATAGCTGGGATATTGCTGAGTGTGGCGTTAAACAAACCCGTTTGGAAAATGTTTATTACATCACAGTGTATCAACACTTGTGGCCAGAGGGTGGCTGACACCTGTTCAGTGGGGAAATCCTGATGCTTGTCTCAGATGTTAACCACATGAGTGACACCCACTGGTTTACGGTTCTGACAAACCAAGAAACATAAGCAGAACAAGGCTTTTACGCCCACAATTAAGTAGAACAAGTTGTTGTAGGTTGCTGTTTTGCCCTTTGGATGCAACTCTGCACAGTGAAGTGTTCTGCCTGAGATGACTGAGCCACCACTGAACCTTGAAAGTTCAAGTATTTCATCAACCGGAAAAATCATACACAAAACTCCAAGATCACATAAATCAAAAACTAACAATTGTGCTTTTACCAAAATATTAAGTGATATACCCATATACTTTAGAGTCTACACATTGTAAACAATATTATCACTTTTACATGCAGTTATTAAGGAACAGCCCTTTCATAAAAAGATTATATTTATTGCTAGGTGAAAAAACAACAACTTATTATTATATTTATACAAATATGATTGAAACATCACATATTTGGCATATACAATACAAGTTACCTTCCCAGCTCCCTCTAATGATGCGATCAGTTTCTTGAGGTCAGTTCTGTCTAGTTCAAGGGAGACAACTCTGTTTTGATTATTGCAGTCAGCCACCTGTAGGTCAAGGTTGAGGAGTGGGGAGTGGAGAGAGGACAGCTTATCGCTTGACATCACCAGCTGTCAATGCAAAAGTTAGAACCAATGTCATGAATAAGAGAGTGAGCGTAACTTTAACATCACATCAGCATTGTTTCAGCCATACATGATGAATAAGATTAACAATATCTATCAAACAGCGCAATTGTTATTCATGAGTTACTGAAAGTCGTTGAAAATCTAGTTTTGAATCTAAATGATTGCCCACACCTGTAATACATTTGACATAAGAGAGTCTTTAGTTCCCTTCTAAATACTACAGTCAAATCCCGATGAGTTGAATCGCTGGGGACCAAGTAATAAATTCGACTTATTGATGTATTCGAGACATAGGTATGTATATGAGGGTAGAAAAAAAAGATGATCGAATATTGAACAATTTTACCCAATCCACAAATAAACCAGACGTCATCCAGGTAGACTTGTGACCGTATGAAGTCGGCAGAGATTTGACATAGGGAAAGGTGTGAGCCGTGCTGGTTTGTTAATTGGATCAGTTAGCTACACCAATTAACTTATCATTGACTGACTTCGGCTTATGTATACAAGATTGCTGTTGTTTGAATCTCATGGGACCAAACTTCCTTCTCGAGTCATCGTGTGTATTTATGAGACGAATTCGTGTAACCGGAAATCAAATGATAACAACTATAACAGGGAATGGTCGGGACCGACAGGTACTTCGAAGTTATGCATAATATTCGAGACACCGGCATTCGACTCATCGGGATTTGACTGTACATGCAAATTATTTGCAGAACATTTTCATACTCCATGAATGAGCCCAAACATGAAATCTGCCCCAAAAATGTTTCAGTTAAATTCAGTGTTACATGTCTCATGCAGACAAACATTCAAACAGCTGACCATAACAGGGATGCCAATGTGACATGGCTGTATTAGTGTATTTGTAATGTCAATGATGCAACTTCTGTATCTGTAGACCCATGAAGATCTGGGTTAGAATGTGCCTTCAGTAACCTATGCTTGTCGTAAGAGGCGACTAACGGGATCGGGTGGTCAGGCTCGCTGACTTGGTTGACACATGTCATGAGTTCCCCATTGCGCAGATCGATGCTCATGCTGTTGATCACTGGACTGTCTGGTCCAGACTCGATTATTTACAGACCGCCGCCATATAGCTGGAATATTGCTGAGTGCGGCGTAAAACTAAACTCACTCACTCACTCTGTATCTGTAATATCTATTATATTTGGGAATACACTTTCTTGGTGAAGTACAGATCCTGGATTCGAAATCTCATAGTGAGGCACCTAATCTCCAGCCGACTAGGTCACTCACTTTGTCACAGAAAGCAAGATGTACTTAATGACACTGACGAAGAGTGCAGGCTTCTGAGTTGAAGTATGGCCAAGAGGGGTCATAAATCTGAAAGTTATCCCATGACGTAGTTGAAACCTAGCGTTTGTAGACATGACATGGTAGTTGATCTGTCTGAGACTGTTGAAACTTCAATGTATTATTTAATATTTCTGTTTTTCCATGATTTCTTTGTGACCACATACACGAAAATTGTTTATACTATCATATCATTAATGGACTAGCCTGTCTGTCAGTTATAGTGTGTGTGTTTCTCTGTGCGTTTCTTTGTGTCTGTGTGTTGTTTAAAGTCACTTGGCTAAAGCATTCGCTCATCATACCAAAGACCTGGGTTCGATTCCCCACATGGGTACAATATGTGAAGCCCATTTCTGGAGTCATCCGCCGTGATATTGCTGGAATATTTCTGAAAGCGATGCAAAACCATACTCACTCACTCACTCAGTCACACTCAGAAATATTCAAGCTTTGTGATGGCAGCATGTAAAGATTTGATTGATTCATATCAAGACCAGTGATCCACAAAGTCATTGAGTTATGACATGCCATCAACTAAGGCACCGAATCTGACCATCCAATCCACATAGTCACCTTAAGTGAATGAGTGAGTGAGTTTAGTTTTTAGCAATATTCCAGCAATATCACTACGGGGAACACCAGAAATGGGCTTCACACATTGTACCCATGTGGGGAATCGAACCTGGATCTTCGGCGTGGCGAGTGAATGCTTTAACCTCTGGACTACCCCACTGTCCCATCGCGTAAAGACAAGCATAGGGTGCCGGATACCAGTTCTAACCAGGCGTCCCAACATTGTAGTTACAATATGCATGTGTGAGTGACAGTTTAGACCATAGCAACAAAGACATAACTGGTCAAAAGAATATTTATTGAGTTAAACCATTCGGGATAAGCCATCTTCCATAATGAGCTGGCACTTCATTCATCAACTGTTACAGTGACTATTCAACCATTGTGACAATCAGTCACCATTAGACCGACTAACTGAATATGGTTTTACGCCGCTTTTTAGCAATATTCCAGCAATATCACGTCAGGGGACACCAGAAATGTACCCATGTGGGGAACTGAACCCGGCCTTTGGCATGACGAGCGAACGCTTTAACCACTAGGCTACCCCACAGCCCCAATCACCATTGGAACTGGCCCTATTAACATGTGTATTGGGAACCTATCTCAACCTTACTGTCAGACACACTGAAGTCCATTTGGTACAAAGCCCACTCCACAAACTGAGCACTATGTCATAACTGTTGTAAGTTTATGTTCCAGTCAGAATAACAATCAACTTGGTGAAAAGATCTCTCTATGCGATGGAACCCAGGAGAATTTTCTTGACAAATTTATGAATAAATGTGATACATTTATTGTTCAGCCCCTTCTGAGTTCAAAGTTCTCTCAACCCTGCCCCACCAGGTCTACCACCTTCATTGGTCAATGTCCTGGTCAGATCGTAGTCATGTAAGTAGGTCAAAGTTCAACTGTTTTGTCTGGTGAGAAACTTTGTTTAGTTTCAAATGGGGAATTCAGTTAATGATTTATTTTGTCTTACAAGATTCTTTGTTTAGCTTCAAACAGGGAATTCAGTTAATGATTAACATTGTCTCACTAAATTTTTATGTTCTTGTGAAATTATAACAGCATTTTCATACAAATACCTACTGGAAACATTACATATGTTTTGACGGTTCTCTTTTAAGATTTACTAACCAAAACTTTCAATAAACACATGCTGGGTCCGGATATTGTGCCTTAAAGCCATTTATTGTTAGTTAATCTAATCGGGTCCAAGCTAAGGGATTGTTGCCCAGATCAATAAACATGATAAGCTGGATCAAGATACCAAGCATTCATAACAACCATGATTATGCAAGAATTTTCATAGCTATCTGCATTATGGAATATAACGCTGCAGTGCTTCAGGGATTATCTTATAAACAGTGCAGTTTCCCAAGTCTCTGTTCTATTCTGCCAATTATTTAATATTGCCATAGTTAACCTGTCACACCAAGACATATATTTACACATACCCTGGTAATATATGTCGCTAATACTGCGCTGAAGAAAATCAACCTTCTACTAGGGTTTGTTAGACTCAGTATAGCAGTGGAACGAAAAATACTGTGCCTAAGTTTACTTAGACTGGGCCAACTCTGACCTGAAATCTCCATGGGGTATCTGGAATAACAGTTTTACTGTTATACTCTACCTTCATTTGCCAGTCAAAGTCTGCCATTACATTCTGTGAGATAGCAGCTGTTGAGGCAAGCAGACTTTTTCGGAGGTCCTCCCTACGCACACTAACCACCTCCATAAATGTTTGTTTGTAGTCGTCAGGCAGGGTGCCAAGCTTTTCAAAAATCTGATAAAACAAAGCAATTACTTTTTAATCACACATTATTATTCAAAAACAGTAATGGTGACCCATTGGGAATGTGCCTACCATGGAGACTTTATAATTTGAATTGGAAGGGGGCAGGCCAAGAGACATTACATTTAGAAACAAAGTTTTGTTTTAACTGGTTAAGATATCACTCAGGAATGTATGATGAAATTACCTCGTCTTTAGTCCACGGATTCTTAATACTCAGCTTTAGCAGTGAATGTATACTTTCAGTGACATTCCACCACTCTTCCAAACTCCATAATTTGGAATAGGCATTGTAATCTAGTGGTTGTCGACTGGTTATATTTCCAGCTATGGTGTGACATAACTGAAACAAAATAAGATAATTGTGATAAATGCAAAAATTAACAATTCACCTGTTCATGTTGTCATATGCAAATTATCAGGAATTATAAATAAACAAACAAATTGTATTTATAGGTACATGTTTCACAACACATGTATTAGCTGATTTAATGTCATGACTGGTGTCGTAAACCATACGGTCACATAAAAATAGATTGAAGATCATTAGCCTATTGTTTACATTAACAAAAAGAAGGGGGTGTGGTCATTTCAACATTCAAGCCTTGTGATTCAACACGTCTGTGGAATTATGATGCTGTCAAAAGATTTCACTGCATATTTCACATTTGAAGTCCGACGACATATCCTCACTTTTATAAATATATATAAATTCTTACTGCATTCAGTTCACCAAGTGAACATTTCGTGAATAATGTGATGACATCTACCCGTGTCGTGTCAGCCATGTTATCAGGTGCGAGCGTCAGTGTCGAATCATTTTCGATTGGTCGTATTCAACACGTATAGCCAATCATCATCGCTGTTGCACTGCGTTTGCGACATCCACTGCACCACTAGTTACCAGCGGGATGGCCTAAAAGTCGGGCCGGGCCGGGCCACTGGGTAATACTAAAAATGGATTGCAGAATATTAAAACGAAACCTGCACATTTGGATCGATACTTTTCCTGCCTTCACAAATGCATAGTTTGATTGAAAATATATAGTTAATGGTGAAAAAAACAAAAAAACAACAATGACTGCATACCGAGATTCCTGTAGAAAAGACACCGTCTTGTTGCTATGTGTTTTCCTTGATATGTCTATGAGGGAAGGTTGCTTACTTCTCTTAGCGTGTGCCATAATTTGGAATAGGCATTGTAATCTAGTGGTTGTCGACTGGTTATATTTCCAGCTATGGTGTGACATAACTGAAACAAAATAAGATAATTGTGATAAATGCAAAATTAACAATTCACCTGTTCATGTTGTCATATGCAAATTATCAGGAATTATAAATAAACAAACAAATTGTATTTATAGGTACATGTTTCACAACACATGTATTAGCTGATTTAATGTCATGACTGGTGTCGTAAACCATACGGTCACATAAAAATAGATTGAAGATCATTAGCCTATTGTTTACATTAACAAAGAAGGGGTGTGGTCATTTCAACATTCAAGCCTTGTGATTCAACACGTCTGTGGATTTATGATGCTGTCAAAAGATTTCACTGCATATTTCACATTTGAAGTCCGACGACATATCCTCACTTTATAAATATATATAAATTCTTACTGCATTCAGTTCACCAAGTGAACATTTCGTGAATAATGTGATGACATCTACCCGTGTCGTGTCAGCCATGTTATCAGGTGCGAGCGTCAGTGTCAAATCATTTTCGATTGGTCGTATTCAACACGTATAGCCAATCCACATCGCTGTTGCACTGCGTTTGCGACATCCACTGCACCACTAGTTACCAGCGGGATGGCCTAAAAGTCGGGCCGGGCCGGGCCACTGGGTGACTAAAAATGGATTGCAGAATATTAAAACGAAACCTGCACATTTGATCGATACTTTTCCTGCCTTCACAAATGCATAGTTTGATTGAAAATATATAGTTAATGGTGAAAAAACAAAAAAAAAACAATGACTGCATACCGAGATTCCTGTAGAAAAGACACCGTCTTGTTGCTATGTGTTTTCCTTTGATATGTCTATGAGGGAAGGTTGCTTACTTCTCTTAGCGTGTGACATCCGGGGTCTTCTCGTTTATCCACCACCTATTGTTCTAGGTGGACAAGTCACTGAAGCGGAATAATCCTCAAGACAATAGATGTCCCTGAAATTTTGTTCCCTGTGAAATAAGATCCCCCTTGAATGTAGTAGTAAAAAGTAAGTCTTTCTACATTTTTTTTATTTCAACAATACATACAATATCAAAATTAACAATACATTCAATATCTATGACAATCCTCAATAGCCTGTTAAATGGGATACTGCATCCCAATATGCATATACATCCATATGGCCAGCCAAGAATTGCTGTTTGATGTTACATAATCTGTTTGTTAAATTGACATATTTAACTTTCTTGCGAGGAGGTTTGGCACCTCCTCTTAATTGCATACATGATGCCTCTACGTAAGATTGTTCTTTTTTCAAGAATTCAATAATCTTGAAGATATTGGGATGGTTTTCTAAACAGGAAAGCTTCCTGTGCCAGCCCCTCAACATGATTAGTAGTGCGGGGCCTTCGGTGGCGAAGTGGTTCCACATGGTCCTGCCATGGTCACCCTCCACCCAGTACGATGTCATATAGTCTGTAAACTGTTCCACCCCAGGAGGTGCATCTTCCAGGGCCTGCCACCACACATCACTCACACAGTCCACTGGTACCAGGGCAAGCAATCGCTCGTCTTACAAGACGACCTATGTCCGGGTTGTCCTTATATTCAGTTACCATTCCAAGCTTCTGAACTTTTCTCCAAACACTCTGGCTAAAGTGAAAGTAGCAACCCTTTAATATGGCATTTTGAAAAGTCATCTTGATGGCGTTTTGAGCAGCTGACTCAAAATCAGTGAACACACTCACTGGATCCAATACAATGTTCTTAGAGGCCGCTACATTCTTCACATTTTCAAAGAAACGTTCATATGTCGACTGCTTTTTATCTGGGAGCAGACCATACACCAAAGGGCACATCTTATTTTGCACAAATGCATGAATGGTGTAAAGCTGGGTGAACACACCAGGCACTTGTCAAATGTTCCGTCACAGTAGTACACATCTGCTTCGGAGAGAAGTCGCAGGTTCTCGTCAGTCGCGAAGGTCAGGATCTTGTCATGGTCGCCGTGAGAAAACAGCAGGAAGTTGTCATTGGCATGCGTCTTAGTATATGCATCGGGAAGATCTATTGCTGATCTAGTTGCTGGCAGATGGGGATGTCTTTGGCTCGGGAGCGGTATAGAGCAGGACGTACACTGTAAAAGATGGGCACTTCTGCAATGATGTCAGGATTCATCACTCTCAGACCTAGAACAGAGAAACACAATGTTAAATTCAAAGAAAACTGTTGTAGTATTTTAGTATTTAATAGTAATTAAAAAGTTGCCAAGTATTTATGTTAATATTTACCTGATAACTCCTCCTGATAAAGAGATGGAATTGGTTTGGAATCTTTTCGGACAAGGTCCTTAAGATTGGCCAAGAAAGAATCTACAGCGATTCTATTCTCCACAGATGCATGGTTATGCTGGTCTCTGTAGGACGTGAGAATATTATCTTTGGTGTTAACCGTGGCATGGCAGTTCTTCTGGGCGCAGTTCCAATGGACAGATGTTCCTCGTCTTCTTTTAACTACAAACTTGTAATTTTGGAACACTAAGTACTGACCACCTCTACCATTAGGAATAAACTGGACATTAACCTGTTGGTTAGCCATCGTGACTGACCTTAAAGAACCTCATGTACCATTTTATAATCGTGTAATAGTGAAAAAGTGTTCACTGAATTAAAAATCACAAATAGCATAATCGACTAACAATTTAATTAAAGTTCACGAACACTGTTCACTGTAACAGGGCAAATCAGCTAATTAGTGTCACCCACCAGGACCAAATTTCAGAGTGAGCAGTGTAATCACTAACCCGTGTCAACTAATCCCATCTAATCCCTTGTCAAAACTAAAGGGTGGTGGATAAGTGAGAATGAACCTAACATCCTGGGGTCCTGGGCAGGAAGTGACAGTGTTTTGACTGCTTTTTCTTTCCTTAATTAAGATATTGGGGTTCCCTAATTAACCTTTTATTGTCTCATGCTGAATGAGCACAGGATGTTTATGTTAAAGAGACGTGGATGTCGGCGAGTGTCAATGGGCAAATATGACATGATTATGTATATTAAAAGAAATATTTCAAATCACAACATTTTGTTATATGTTATTAAGGATCAAACAAAGTATGCATTCACGAACACAAAAATTCTTATGTGTTTTCATTGTAAACAATACCAGTCCAAATCAGATAGCCAGCGCGTATGCATATGCTTATATTTACTAATACACATGAAACACAAAATGGTATTATATCTACCTAAATACCACTTCATCAAGTAAAGTAAAAGTGAAGCCCCTTTCTCTCTCCTTTCCCAACAATTAGGGGAAAAAGTCCTCGGAAAACAAAATCCGCAATCAAAGTGTTTAGTCTCTGTTCAGCCCGACTTGGCCCGTGGTGTCAAAAACAACCTAAACCTCACAAGTGTATCTTGAAATGTGTTTATATCCATAGATTAGTACTATATGTACCTACATACCACTTTACAGAGTCTCAAAGCGTAGTATTTGAAGCAAAAACGTTGCTGAAAGTGAAGCTCTCTTTTCTACATATTCTCAACAAAGACACTGTATCACAAGCGTTCGGTCAGCCTTGGCTCGGGCTCTCAAAAACATCTTTCACCCAACAAATGTATCCTGATTTGTGTTTAATTCCATAGATTAGTATTATATCTACTTAAATATCAATGTGTGATGTTACAAAATGCCACATGTAAAGATAACTGGTTCGTTAAAGTGAAGCCCTTTTCTCTCCCCAAACACAACATAGCCTCAGACAAAGTGTTTAGTCGCCGTTCGGCCCGACTTGGTCCGGGCTGTCAGAAACAGCTTAAACCTCACATTATGTATTTTGAAATGTGTTTATATCCATAGATTGGTGTTAGATCTACCTAAATATCACTTCACAGAGTCTCAAAGCGTAGTATGTGAAGCAAACACGTTGCTGAAAGTGAAGCCTCTTTTCTACATAATCTCACCAAAGACACAATATCACAGCGTTCGGTCCGGTTGGCCGGGACTGTCAAAACACCTTAAACCTCACACATGCGTCCTGATTTGTGTTTAAATCCATAGATTAGTATTATGTTACTCTAAATATCACTGTGTGATGTTACAAAATGCCACATGTAAAGAAACCTGTCCGTTAAAGTGAAGCTCTCTTTCTCTCCATTCACAACATAGCCTCAATCAAAAAGTGTTTAGTCTCTGTTCAGCCCGACTTGGCCTGTTTTGTCAAAAACACCTTTAACCTCACACATGTATCCTGATTTCTGTCTATATCTCTAGAATAGAGTCATATCTACCTAAGTATTTCTTTTATAGAGTCTCAAAGCGTAGTATTTGAAGCTAAAACACGTTGCTTAAAGTGAAGCCCTAATTTCTATACATTCCAACAACCACATAGTATAACATGCTTTCGGTCCGGCTTGGCCCGGGCTCTCAAAAACAACCTTAACCCCACATATATGTCCTGATTTGTGTTTAATTCCTTAGATTAGTATTATATCTACCTCAATATCACTGTGATGTTACAAAATGCCACATGTAAAGATAACTGGTTCGGTAAAGTGACGCTCTTTTCTCTCCCCAAACACAACATAGCCTCAGTCAAAAGTGTTCAGTCGCCGTTCGGCCCGACTTGGTCCGGGCTGTCAGAAACAGCTTAAACCTCACACATGTATTTTGAAATGTGTTTATATCCATAGATTGGTGT